TATAATCCAATACTATCATTTACTTAGAAGCTCAAATGGTCCTAGATTTGGACGGTGGGAGCCACTTCAAGCTGGCTCCCTTGTCATTTTGACATGCCCCCATCATTCGAGTACTTTCTTACTTTTGGGGACAAGATGTTAGGGCTCATCTCATTCATTCCCAGCCTAGTCCTGAAAGTAGCCCTCTCTCAAAGAAACGGTTCACTGCGTAGAGAATGACATCATGAAACCAAGGTCTGGGTGCTAGATGTGCCGGCTGAGCGCGCTGCTACTGAGATGCTACTGTTTCTAGGGATCAGCAGATAGAGCTAGGAACTGTGTGTGTGTGTGTCTCTGTGTCTGTATGTCTGTGTGTATATTTGTACATATGTGTATCTACTGAATTTTTTAAACTATCTCAAAAACCATGAGTTCACATTGATTCCTATGGAATCCAACAGCACAGTATTCATTTTTAGCTTCCTTCATTCACTTAGCCTTCCCCCCTGGTTTAATTTTACTTCCTTCCCCAACGGGGAGAAATCTGGTGCCAATTATCCACAACATATTTACTTCTTTGTTCAGCCCTTCGTTCCGTCTGTAAAAGTTTCCCTAGTCACCTTTTGTCAGAATGATTCCTCTTAGGAGATTACTCAAGGAGGTTCCCGGCTACAAAAATCCCTGACTTTTAGCATTTTTAAAAGGTTTTTCTATAGCCTTGATGCCTAACGAATATCTTCAATGTGATAAAATCCTTGATTTACAATTTCTTAAAAGGTTTTTTAAAGCCTGCATGATTCATGCCTTCTTCTGAATACTGTTCTGGGGAAGTCTGGTGTCAGACGAATTCTCTTGCCCCTGTGATTTTTTTTTTTTTTTGCTGGTGTTCTTCAGGATTTTTCTTTATTTAATAGTTTTGAGTATTCTAGATCCATCTCCCCAGTTTAGAGCGTTCTATTTCACTTCTCCTGCATATGGCTTTTGGGAGAGGGCTGAGTGGTGGTGGTGGGGTCATCTGTTCACGAGGTGGTCTCGTTTTCTGTTTCCTTCCAGTAAAAGCTCTGGCTAGGTTTAGTCAGTTTTGCCTATTTGTCATGGAAATTTTGGGGTGTTTTTACAAGGTTCCTAGTCAAAGGGCGCCCCCTTCTGTCATCACGGTAAAGTACAGCCTGTGATGAAGAGCGTCTGTTGTCAGCCTTGGGTTCGAGTTCCAAGCCCTCCGATCCTGTGGGTCCTGTGTCTTATAAGCCCCTCATTTTCTCTCTTGCTTCTTCCCCCCTCAGTTTTCAATCTACAAAGGGAGCCCCTCCCCGTCTTGTGATGGAAGTTACATACTGATTTCTATTTTTGAAGCTCATGAACTTTTAGGGTTATACATATTGCTGTGCCTGATAGCGCCCCTCAGGCCTCTCAGGCTCTGCTCATTCTTCATGATCCTTCGTCTGCTCTGCAGCCTGAATGATCTCAGTCGCCGGTCTTCCAAGGCCACTGCTTCTTCTACCTGCCTTTCAAATCCACCGTTGAACGTGAGCTGCTCGCTCCTACTCTTCAGCTCGTTTCCAGCTGGTTCCTTTGGTGCTTTCTCTTTATTGGTAGCCTCTGATTGGCACTGTTCTCACGGTTTCCTTTAGGTCTCTGTTCACTAGCTAGCTCTTTAAGCATATTTAAAATTGTTGATTTAAAGTTTTGTCTACTAAGTCCAGTGTCCGGGACAGTTCAATTTACTTTTTCCTATGTGTGAATCATACTTTCCTATTTCTAGCCTTGTAATTTTTGTTGAAAATTGGACACTCCGCGGTTTATAATGTGCCAACTTTAGAAATCAGGTTCCTCCCCTCCCCAGAGTTTGCTGTTGCTGGTGGTAGTAGTTGCTGTAATTTGTAAATGATTTTTCTGTACTAATTCTGTAAAGTCTGTTTCCTTGTTGTTGTTGTTGTGTGGGGCCACTGGAACCTCCATTCCATTAGCTTAGTGGTCAGCTAGTGATTTATCGGATATTTCCTGAAATGCCAAGACTTGGCTGATTTTTCTTGACTGTTTACTTGTTTGCTGTAAGCCCTTGATTAATTTTCCAGTGTCCAATAAAGTTGCTTCTGGCACTCATTGTGTTTATTGGCTGACTTTGTGGAAGAACAGGCTTTTGGAGTTTCCTACCCAGTTTTGCTGATATCACTCACTGTTCCACTTTTCTCTAAAAAAGAGAATAGATCCTAACTACCTACCTGTCTACATTTGTAATATAAAGAAAAAAATACACCATAAAATTTAAATGACACCTGGTAGGAGAAGGAGGGGCTCAGGATAGAAGCTAGATTTCTTTAAATACATCTGCTTTGTAAATTTTACTTTGGATCCACATATTTTAGATAATTATAAAAAAATTAACATATTTAAAGAAAATATTACCTAAACAAACTACTCCTACAGTCATAGACTTGCCCAGGTCTAGCATTTATTTGGAGATTTGAATTTCAGAATAGTTTAACTACAGATGCTATAGTAGCAGCTATTATGCTAAATTCTGCAATATTAAGAGATGTAACATAGGTAAAGCACCTAGCAAATCAATAAACACCAGCTGCCTTCCACCAATACCTTACCCAAGGAGACAAACGTAATTATTTTGCCATCTTTGTTCTAGGTCCATACACAGGGCTCATGTTTACTCATGAAACCTAAATAAATCAAAGCTACGGTTCTAGATACCGGATCACAAGGTGACGTAAAAAAGTTCCTACTAGCACAGAGTTTTGTTAGTCCTACATTTGCCTTACAAATGTAAAGTTTTGATAAACAGAATTATTTTTGCTTACATAAAGAATCACAGACACATCCCTTGCCTCCAACGACACCTCGCAGTTGCCTGAATAAAAGTGCTCATTAAACAGAAATATCTTCCACCCCTATTTTGTTAACACCGCCACTTACCCACATATAGCAAATGCACCCCTTCCCTAGAGCCCCACATCATAAACTGCCAACAGCTCTTGACCGCTTGGCTTCTCTAAACACATAGCTTAAATCCAACCACCACTCTACAACATTCCCGCTGCCACGGCCTCGGTTCGTGCCTGTATTTCCCAGCTGGACTACCAACTGGCTAGTCTTTTCTGCCTCCCTTCTAATCTTTTTCTAAATCCATTTTTCCATTATGTCTGTAGAGCGTTTTTACTAAAAATAAGTTGAATTTATTCAACCTTTAAAATGTATTCAACAATTGCTTTGCTTATATCAATTATTCAGTCCCTTCCCGTCTTCTACAGCGGTGAATTTTCAAAATATATTCCTAAAAGACTCGAGACTCAACAGACGTGGCTCAGTCCCCAAGGGGTGGTAAGGCAGAAGCTGGCTGGATAAGGGTCTTTTGTCCCTGTTCTTCAGCCTTTAATCAGTTGCTCAATTTGTTTATAGATCCATATAAGTTTTAGCTTATAAAAGATTTCCCTAACTCAAGCTCTTCATGATTTTGCTTCTAGCTCTCTCTTCAGGCTCAATTTACTATCACTGCCTTTCACAAGCCCTATACTTCCAGTCATTTTGAAGTCGTCAGTTTACCAAACTAGAGCTGTTTTTTACCTTTACTCTTTGGACAGCTATTTCTTCTACCTGTAATGCTATTCTCTCCTTGTCTTAGGAAACCTTGGAAGGAATCTCAGCTTAGAGATTTAAATAATAATAAATAATAATAAAAGTAAAAAGCCCCCAGGCAGTTTCTTGTTTCCTTCTCTGTTCCTTTAGCACTTTGGACCTTCTATTACAACCTCTACCACTCTTTAATTTTTTCACCACTTACTAACACCTGTGCCCTTGGACAAGTAACTTACCCTCTCTGAGGCCTTGGTTTCCTCATCTGTAAAATGAGGATAAGTACAATATCCAGCTCACAGAGATGTTGAGAGGGTTCAATGTGGCAATACATGAAAGGGTTGGAAACAGTCATTCAAATGTTAGACATAACTATTATTACTAATTAATACCAACCACTACCACTATTCATTTATGTGGGTCTACTAACCTGCAAGCTAGGAAGGATTTCTGCACCCCTAGCACACAGCTCACAGTAAAAACTCAATGTTGGAAGAAACTGATCTACATTCTATAATATGTAATGAATACGCTCATTCATTTGTTATTATTCTCAGGTTAAAATTGCTTTCTAGTGCCTTCAGCTACTTCTTTTGGCAAGAGAGGTTATTTACTGTGCAATTGCTAATTTCCTGAGGGTATGCTTTTTGTAGCAAATTAAAAGTTTATTATTTGATTTATTTATAAGAGAGGCAATTTCTTTTTACCCAAATTATTTCAATAGATTTATCTAATTAACCCACTGTGATGGTTAATTGTGTGTGTCCACTTGGTTGGGCTATATGTGGCTAAGCATTATTCTGGATGTTTCTGTGAGTGTTTTTAGGTGAGACTAACATTTAAATTTGTGGACTTTGACTAAAGCAGACTTTCCTCCATAATGTGGGTGAGCCTATGCATGCGATTAGTTGAAACAGTAGACAGAACAAAGACTGACCTCCCCCAATAGAGTAGAATTCTGTAGCAACGGCCTTCAAACTTAAAACTGTGACACTGGCTCTATCTTGGGTCTCCAGCCTGACAGCTTTGGACTACCAATTTTGGACTTGCCAGCTTCCATATGCACATAAGCCAATTCCTTAAATAGATCTCTCTGTCTCTACATAGTATAGACCAGCGATTTTCAAAAGGTGTGCCACAAGAATTTTTAAAACATGCAATACCTGACTAGTCAGGGGAACTGACCTCCTTTCCCTTAGATTGTCAAATAAAAAATGGTAACAGCCAATACAACAGCAGCCGTCCCATGTGAATCAATCAAAATTATACCTTTTTTTTCCCCGTTAGATCAGGAAAATATACATTTTTTGGTGTGCCACAGAATTTTAGTAATTAGTTTATGTGTGCCATGAGATGAAGAAGGTTGAAAATCGCTGGTATAGACTACAACACCCACCTATAGTATATATGAAATTAAGTTATAGACCAGTCTATAATCATTTAAAGGCAAAAAAATCTTTATTTAGAAAGTTCAGAATTAAAAATACAAAGATGAACATAGGTGCTTTAAACTGACAAAATCTACTTACAATATAATATATGGCTCTGACGGTATGTTTATATCACTTAAAAAACCTATATACAATGCAACAAATAGATTTATAACAACACCTTCCTTCAGTTAATAGTTTATTCACACAGAAGCTCCATAAAGGGCCATCACTTAAGGAATCTCCTGGTTAGTCACAACCAAATTTAGAACACTTGGTCAAAACAATATGAACATGCCAGGTCCTGGCGCATTGAGTAGAAAGAAATAACCTACAAGGTGGTATACTTCAGATGAAGATAATCTTAATTAACCTCCAAAGCAACCTTTTGGATGAGTGGTACCTACTCTTGTTAAAGATCAGTCTTTACTGCTGAGGGCACTGGGCCTCTGGAGTTGATTTAGAGGACACGTATAGAATAGGGTGTGATTTCTTACAAGTTTTCTTCTCCAATTTGCTTGCAGTTTCTTTCCCTTCTTTAACTTCTGTTTGAAGCTTTGATTCAGCAGCTAACCTACAGGCATTAAAGCATCCACTCTGAATTCAAGTGTGGTTAAGAAAAATGAAAGAAGAGATAATTCTCTAGTATAATGAGCCTCTAATAAGACATGGTGATTTTTTTTTATGTATAGAAGGAAAGAAATTACAGTTGACTCCAATACCATTAAGAAAACTAAGTCACTGAGTCTCTAAAAGAATCTTTTTATGTAAACAGATTCACTTTTTTAAATGTCTAAAGAAATATCTTTAAGGTTGATAAAAAGTCATGGCAAAGCCTAAATTAAAGAACTAAAATATAATGAAGGTGCCTATCATAATAAGCACACATAGCGAAAAAATATAAAATACTGTAGCACTAGCTTAATGTTATATAACATGACATACAAAAGGTAAAATGCAAGATAAAAATAACGAGATCCTGGGCTGCATAAATAGATGTCTATTTGTCACATAAAAGAACTCAAATTGAGTTTCAACTAGCAGAATAATAATTTAAGAAAAAATAAACAATGAAGAGATATTTCCCACTCACTTTCTCTTACCTTTTGACCTCTATTATTTTAATTTTTTTAAAGGCTAAGCCTCTTAAAACGTGAATTCCTATAGGCATACACATCTTGACACTTTCTATTTTAGTCACAAACTCACATATGCAGAAACTAGAGGTTCTGAAGTTTTGTTATGAAACAAAAATGAACTTACCTTCGATATTTAAAAATGTCAAAATAGGTATCAAAGCCCATTCTTAAAGGCTTAGGATAAACAATTTTAAAAGCCACATAAAAATATTTTACCGAACAGTTTTCTAAAAGGCTGAAGTTTCTTAGACTATTAGAAAGCCATTCTAGGAGGTAAGTTGATTTTCCTTTCATGGCCACTCTTGAACCAGGGAAACAATAACCGTATGCTTGTCCAAATCAACAAGGCCATCACAGAGGTATTACACTGTGATATTTCTGTTTCATGAAACAGAAAAGTGTAATTCTGAAAAACAATTCCCTTATTCAGAAGTCCTTTTCCCTTGCAATCACTTTAGTCCTTCTTAAGGTTTTAAAAGTGCTGAAGGTAGAGAGAAGAAATTATACTGCATGCAACACTGAGAAAACAGATGAAGAAACAGCACAGTTCATACAGTCAGAGAAGGGATGGGGAGAAGTCTGCTGGTTGCCTGAAAAGAGGACACTGACCTGGGAGAGTCAGGGGAGTTTCCGCTTCTTTCACTCATGGCTGGAACGTCTACAAGTTTCACACATTTCTTTTCCTTCGTTGGTTGAAAAGTCACGGGCATATTTTTGTGAGGAGAGAGAGTGACTCCTGGTGTGTTTACAGAAACTGTCGTTTCTAACTGCAAGTTGTTATCTCCTAAGTTGCTAGCACAGGACTGTGCCTCCTCTTTCTGAGGTGATCTAGAAACTCCTTCCCCAGTAGCAGCACTGCTGGTGCATACGCTGTTAGGGGGGTTTACATCCACAGGCAGTACCTCACGCCTCTTTTTGAGTACAGGCACTTCAATTTTCTCTGAGAACAAAAATCATTAAAAATACATCCAGTCAAAATAAATCAAAGACACAATCCACATAAAGAGGTGGAACTAGCTACATATTTTTCCTTTCCTTTCCCTATTCTTTAAAACACACTCATTTCCTTATTTTATTATTTTTTTATTTTATTTTTGTTTAAAATATTACAGATTCCCTTTTTCTCCCCAATGACTCGTTCCACCCAGTCCTATCCCCCTCCCCAGTCCCTCTCCCCACCATTGTCCGTGTCCTTGGGTTGTGCATATATGCATATAAATTCTTTGGTTACTCTCTCCCCCTCCACCCACCCACCCTCCTCCATCCCTCTGACATTCGTCAGTCTCATCTATGCTTCCATGTCATTGAATCTATTCTGTTCATCAGTTTATTAAGTTCTTTAGATTCCACGTATAAGCGAGATCATGTGATGTTTGTCTTTCGCTGCCTGGCTTATTTCACTTAGCATAATTTTCTCCAGGTCCATCCATACTGTCCCAAAGGGTACGAGATTCTTCTTCTTTACAGCTGCGTAGTAT